GTTGTCAAAGGTTGTTGTTTTTTTGTCTAACTTCACCATCTACTAGTATAATATGTATGTAAAAGGTTATGTTTTCTCGTTAGTGATTATGTGTTTTAGGTGATGTTTGTTGGTTATTTAGATCAGTGGTGACTTTTGACAATGTTAGAATTTTTAGAACCGTCTTTTTGAGGGGTTTTCGTTACATGATAACCTCATTTGTAATGTATGGCCACTTCGATGAAGGAAATGAAATCTAGTTCCTATTAACCAATGTTTTCATATGATGTCAACTAATATTTACTAATGTTGTCGTAGTACCAACTGTTTTATTAATTATTGATTGATTTGTTCATGTGGAGTGCCATTGTTTGTGCAGTCAAAGTACCTTGACATACTTTTTTTACAATAACAAAGAGACATTCATGCTTTGTCAATGTACCTTTCCATATATGTTTTACATTCACAAACACATATTGATGTTATGTCAAAGTACCTTGCCATATTTGTTTTAAAATCACAAGCAAACATTCATGTTATGTCAAAGTACGTTGTTATATTTGACTTATAATAACAAAGAAACATTCATTCACTCATTTATGTCATTACTTGGTGTTTTAAAGACACACTAATTGTAACACCGTAAATTTCGAAAACAATTTTTTGCATTTATAAAAACATAATTCATTTGTAAATCATAAAAACATCATTGTTTGAAACTCAATTTATAACATATAAAAATCCCAAGATCTCATATCATCAAAATCCCGTGTGTGTAATGATCAAGCCGGTGCCTTCCCGCAATCCTCACTAGTACCTGAAACACATAACACAAAACACTGTAAGCACAAAGCTTAGTGAGTTCCCCAAAATACCACATATAACACATATTAGCCACTTGAGGCTATAACTCTGTGGGTCCATGCACCCAAAACTCTGTGAACCCTCAGGTTCTAACTCTGCAAGCATGCACAACATAAATCACATAGAAGAATGTAGTGCAACAAACGATATATATATATATATATATATATATATATATATATATAACACTGTATCACATAACTCTATTTACCTACTCAAGGTAAAGTATAGTGAGAAGACTCACCTCGCGTATCTCGGTAACTCGTAAATCCCTGAAATCACTAGTGCTCGATCTCCCGATCTATAGTCCTCCTATAACACAATACATCTCTAATTAACACTTTCCTAATTAAGGTTGACTAACCCTATCAAGTCAACACCGGTCAACTATGGTCAATGGTCAACAGTCAACCCAACTCGCCGAGTCTGGCGTGGACTCGCCGAGTCCCTACGAGGACCCAATTCCTCTTAGTCCCTTCCGACTCACCGAGTCACTCACCTAACTCGGTTACTCAACCCCTGATTCGAAATCCATGAACAAACCGCACCAACTCGTCGAGTATGCCAATGGACTCGGCGAGTGCATTCCATGCACAACCCCAAACGACCTTCTGAGGTCAGATCTGTTCCACTAACTCCTAGATCCAGTCCTTCCAAGCTTATTTATCACGTAAAGTTCATGTCTTGGCACTCATATCACACCTAATGACTCATAAATGGTGTTTTGACCTCAAGCACAAAGATCCCAAACCAAAACCTTCATGGATTCATAAAAAGCTTGGACAAAGGGACACTCTGGACCTCCAAGGGTCTAGATCCAGAACCTAACTCGCTTAAGGGACCAAATGAGCACTAGATCTAGCCACAAAAGGGCTCAATAAGCCCTAAATCAATATGAACACCACCTCAACAGAAAAGGGTTTGAAAATGGTACCTCAAATGTGATGTTCTGGACCTCAGATCTTTAGGAAGTTAACCCTCTTGCTTCCTCTTGGCTATAACTTCCTTTCCCTTGCTAGACAATACCACCAAGGTTAACAATGGCTCCTTCTCTCACTCCAAACGCTCAGGCTCGCTAGGGTTTCTCTCTGGGGACTCGTGGGCACAAATGACGGCCATAAGGCCCTTTAAATAGGCCCCAAACCCGAGAAATTAGGGTTTCATTAAACAACATGGACTCCCCGAGTCCGCCAATGTGACTCGTCGAGTCCGGTCATTAATCCGGATGAGAAATCGCGTCTTTACTCGGCGAGTCTACGCACCAACTCGCCGAGTTCTTCCACAAAACTCAAAATAAAATGAATAAATATAATACCTGAAATTCTGGATGTTACACTAATAAACTTAACAAGACCATAACAAACATGAAAGGGCAATATCTATCCCTAGCAAACATACTCCATAAACAAAACACTTTTAATTCAAATCCACTGGTTTGGAGGATGTATCTCCTCACCATTTTGCCCTCAACCCTTTTTTCCAACTTTTTCTTTATTATCCTCTCTGACTTTTGCCTTATCTTGACTATACATTTTTGTTGACCATTCTTCTTATTCACAACATTTCAACCCCTACCTTCACAATTTCCCATTTTGACATAACTTCCACTTCCACCTTCACCTTTACCCTTTTCTTTTTTCACATCATTTCCCCCATGATCTTGAACCTTCCCTTTCTTCAATGCACTTCCACCTTCACCTTTGGCCTTCTTATTTTTTGCATTGCTTTTTTGGGGTCGTGAAACTACATCATAAGTGGACTTGTAATGCCCTGCCCTTTTACAAACACCACATACAATCCCTATTCCTGACTTCGATACTTTATGTAATCCATTAACCTCTATACTGTCCCTCTTTCTTTATATAGTGGCTCTCCCGGGCATCAACCTTTTCAATGGTGGTATGTAGTATGTTTGGGGACCTATTGTAATCCCATTCATGCTAGTACTTGTAGGCAAGGTTGTACAACTCGCTACTCGGTACCTGCTCGGTCTTCTGGGGAGTAGCGAGTACTCATGAGTACTCGAATTCGGTATTTCATGTAGAAATATTTTTAGGAAAATTATATATGTCAAAATCATAAGTTAGATCATAATTTGATTGAAATATATAACAAAATTAGATACATGTGAATACATAAGTACTAAAATACACACAATTGTCTCACTTCGTTAATAATTACTGAAAATTTAAGATATATATGTAGTAATAATCACATGTGTGTGTTAAATATAAAATCATTAAGTGTATTATACATATTTATCTTGAAATTCTTGATTTTGTTTCTATTTTTATGAAATTTTTGACCCTTTGACCGAGTTTGACCGAGTTGGCTAAGTTTGACCGAGTAGGCCTGAGTTAGACAGATATTGACTGATTTTTAACCAAGTTTGACTTAATCCAAGTTTTTTTGCCAAGTTCACATTATTCGCCTCGGTGGAGGGCCGATTCCAAGTAATTGTCCAAGTAGGCCGAGTTTTGCAACACTGCTTGTAGGTGTTAATATATATATATATATATATATATATATATATATATATATATATATATATATATATATATGCAATCACGATATAAAGGATCAACAAATGCCTCTACATTTCTGTTTACATAAGAAATGGTTGCCATCGAATGTACACAACCATACCAATTCAGTTGCCATATCCTACAAGTACATGTTTTCTTTTCCAAATCAAAAATATATGACTCTGCTAAATTTCTTATTTCAAACGTATTCATTCCACTAGGAAGCACTTGCCAGTACCTAAAAATAAACATAATTACTATGAGCTACTATGTTGGATCATTAATTTATTTATGGAAAGCATTATGTTCGGACATACATCAAAATGTCCACATCCACTACCTTTCTGTCTTAAACTACACATTCTCTACATCACATATACTTTAATATACTCTAGCATAGTAATCTTTGGCTTCTTCTTAGCATCCAAGATAACATTGCTAAAGCTTTTAGACAGCCCATTCTCAACAGCATCACACCCCCTTCCTATTTGAAAAAAATGCTATGGATCATGACTTTGGATTCCTTCCCATAAAATGCATATATGTAGTAGAGTTAAACATTTCAATCTCTTTCATTTTAGAATTGAAAAGAGGTTCAGTTGATGCCTTACAAGCATTCCAAAACAATGTCTCATATTAAGCACAAGGAAATTTCTACTTGAAGTTGGACAGAACATGCTTGGCACATTACCTATGTTCTATCTCAAGGAATAAATCCTTCAATACTTCAATTATCCCTTTCATTTACATCATAAGGACATTTAGATCTAGATCTTAATTAAACATATAAAGCATGGCATAATGAACACACACATAGCTGATGTTGATCTGACATCAATTTCTTACCATACCCACCTTTCAGATGCAAATCTTCTTGTAGATTTTCTAGAAACCATTTCCAATTGTCTTTATTTTCAAAACATACCACAACCCAAGCTATTGGGTCTATATGATTGCTTACATCCCTCCTAATAATACATAATAACTGAGCAGTGCACTTTCCTTTTAAAAAACATCAATCCAATTTTATAATCCATCTATAACCATTTTTCCAACTATACTTTAGTGTATCAAAACATATATACATCCTACTAAAGTAGGTTTTGCCATCTGGCATAGAGTTCATAGACAACTTGACAATTGACCGTGGATTAGACATTCTTATCTCCTTACCATAGGACCATAACTTTGCATAATTTTCCACTATGGTACCTTCAACAAGAGATAATGTATGTTGCTTAGCTCTCCTACACTGTTCCATGCTAACCATTATGCCAAGTCTAGTCTTTACGTCCTCTTTTAGCATCCTAACATTTAATTTTTGATTTTAAGAACTTCCCTAGTGAAATGACTACCAATCCATCTATAATTAACAATTGACCCTAACTTAAAATTCCTAGCACAATTATGCTCATTAATAAGGGCCTTGATTTGGAATGAGTGCTCTTCACTCATCCATGACACCTAGAGACCAAATGTTCATTCACCATGATAACACTTAACCAATAACCTTTTACTATCATTTTTTTCATAATACAGTTGATACCCATTGGCTACAACATAATTACAAGGTATGAATTTCAATTGTTTAGGGTTGGTGAACCTCATACCTAGATTTGTCTATTGCTTCTTCTAAGGTATGTCTTCATTAAACCTTGGTTTTCCTTTCACATCTCGGACATTGTCGTCTTCAACATTTGGGATATTTTCATCTTCATCATCTTTTGGATTTTCACCTCTTGTGGCATCCTGGTTTCCATTTGCCTGACTTACTCCTTTATAGGTTACTCCTTCCATGTTGATATGTTGTTGACTCATGAACTCATTTAGGTGAATACCTTCTTCAATTTATATTGACATGTTTGACATAACAAAACAATTATCCTCAATTTCATTTTCCTTAGTTACGTGCATAGTAGTATGAAAATGGTCCATGTAAACAGTTGGTTGTACTCCACACCAGTAAGCAATGTCTATAAACTCTTGATATTGAAGTTCATTAGAAATCAAGGTTAAACCTGCTGGTTTTTCTAATTTAGATTGACAATAATAAAGCTTCTCACACTTCTCTTGTGTAAACCCTTCAAGAAAAACCGTAAATTCAGTATAAGACATACCATCAAAATCAATATTCTCGAACACATGATGAATACCATCAGAGTAGCAAAAAGGTTTTTTGATAAACACACCTTGGAAATGAACTTCGATTGAGATGAATATAGCCATCGATCTACAGTAACTATGGTGGGAGCAAGGGTTTCTTCAATAAGGACGAGAGGATTAAAGAATGCATTCGGTTTATTTTAAACAATTCAAGATAAAGGTAATACACATGGTCATTTCATTAAATGACATGACACCGACATTTTCTTTCGTGGCACGTATATTATCTTTGAACCCGGTATCAGATCAGATAAGTGTATTTTAAAACAGGAAAATGTATGTTACTTCCCTTAACATGCAATTTTTTTTAAATCAATAACCTTATAAAACAAATATGACAGGTTTGATGGATTAATATGACATTTACCCTATAATGAATTTGTATTTTTTTTCAAAACACTATGGTCACTAAAAGAATAACCGATAATAGCAGTGACGACTTTAGCGGCGACGTGGACTTTTAGCGGCAACAAAAAATAATCGTGTTTTTGTCACCACTAAAAGTATCTCTCGCCACTAAAGGCTTTTGTTGGTGATCCGCGTCATTTCAGTCCTATCCGTCGACTTAATAGATCATCCTACCACTAGGATGACATAACAAATCTCATGTTGATTTCCCTTCGGTGTATCGCTGCTAAAGAATGTGTGTCGCCACTAAAGGTGTTGCTGCTAAAGGCTTATTTCGGCGATATGTGTCATTTCAATGACATCTGTTGATTTAATCGATCATCCAACGACGTAGAAAACCCCACATTGTTTTCCCTTCCATGTTTCACCACCAATGAGTACACGTCGCTGCTAAAGACCGTTGATAATAAAACCCTTTTCGTTCTCACTTTCTTTCCCGGTCTTCTGTGTTTTCCCTAATTCTTTTTGCTCTCCATCGCCGACTTCATTGGAATTTCACAGAAAACTTCGCAATTTCACCCCTCTCTGCTCTATCTTTATCATTTTCTTTTCGTTTTCTCTTATCCCTACTAAATTTCTAGCATTTGAGATGGTTTCCGGGATTTTGAGATCTCTCACCCTCGTCGTCGAAATATACCGCCACCACCACTGTTCTCGCCGAAATATTGATTGTGTAGATGTGTATTTGTATGTGTATTTTGTGTTTATAGATATAGATGTGTATTTGTATGTGCATTTATATATATATATATATATATATATATATATATATATATATATATATATATATATATGTATGTATGTATATATATGTATGTATGTATGTATTTTGAATGTATTTTTTCTGTATGTATATGTGTTTATGTATGTGCAATTCAATGTATATATGTATTTTTATGTATATGTATGTGTACTATATATGTGTATGTATTTTTGTATGTATATGTGCATTTTGTATATGTATTATGTATGTATATGTATATTTGTATGAATAGAAATACATATAAATGGTGGCGACATCTTTAGTGGGATAAAGAGCATTAGCGATAACGCATCTTCAGCGACGACGGAAAGTAATAGCGACGACTAATGGAGCATTAACGACGAACAAACAGCGACGACCATTTAGTGGCGACATGTTGGACATTTAGGTGCCATGCTGTGACAACCTGAAGTTCGCTCCGTCGTTGTAACCCGTTCTGTCGTTAAAAATTCGTCGTCTTGAATAAATTCCGTTTCATTTCTAAATTTAAGTAATTATTTTTAAATTTGTTATTATGATTTAATAATTGTCCAAATACGTTAGAAATCCATGGAAACGCCCCAATTTATTATTTAGAAAAATAATTGTTTTATTCCGTCAAGTGATAAAAGTAATTAATCGGGTACGACCAAAAGCCTCGCTTGATGATAGTATCGGGTAAAATTCCACCGTGTCCCAAACTTCCAGCATATATAAAGTTGAGAGAGCCTCATTTGAAGCCTTTCCACTCTCTGTACTTTCTCCCTCTACTCTCTCTAAAATCCGATTTTGAGCCAAAATCATCCAAATCAAGCCTCAAACCATCAAGGTAACTATCCTAGCTCCTAGTATAACACCTTTGGCCATCAAATTCGAGATTTATATGAGGATTATGACCATTAGCATGAGTTTACGGTCCTAGAACATCCCTAGGCCGTGAACTCATGTAAATGGGGTTTTTGTGCCATAAAACCCTTCCAAACCTCATTTGGAGCTTAGATATGAGTTAAGGACTTAGTTGCATGTACTTAGAACACCTTAGACTCATCAATTGGGGTATAACCATGAGTTTACAGCCCAAGCATATGCTTGGACCGTAAGCACCTATTCATGGGGAGTAAACTCGTTTTTATGTGTTAAGATGCCACTTAAACACACCATAAGCCTTAGAAATGAGTCTAGAAGCAACCACAATCAAGTTAAAGGACCTTAATCATGCCAAAACTACCCCCATGGATGTTTACGGCCGTAAACCTCCGAAGAACATCTTCTTAGGCCGTAAACTCCTAAAACTTAGTGAAATGGTGCCTTAAACTCATCCCAAGGCTTGTATAAGGACTTAGAAACACTTGTAAAGGACCTAGGACCACCAAACTCCTAGTTTACTGCCGTAAACTCCATTAAATGGTCCATATGTGAGTTTAATCTATTCCTATGCCCTAGATTTGATCCTAGCCAACTTTCCCAAGTGTTATAAGACCATTTGACACCATAGAACACCACTCCATGAGTTTACGACCGTAAACTCATGTGGAGTGGGTCATTAGGGATGTAAACCCTCTTGTGAGTTTACTCTTGAGGGGTAAACTCCATATCCAAGCCATATATGTCCCTAGATGTCACCCGGGTCACTCCAAACACTTGATTTGAAGTGTTTCGCGTCTTGGAGTGTATAATCATATCTAATTAGTGATTTAAAGTCTAATTAGATACATTTGTATATCAATTCATATTACATAGGAACCTCACGCGTTATCATGCCCCGAACCGACACGCTTCTCAATCGGTGAGTTCATACCCCTACCATTTTTCAAATGTTTTTCAAATGTTTTCAGGGGGGGGGGGGGAATACAAACAAAAGTACAAGAAAATCTTGTACTCAAACTTATTATTTTAGTTCAAATGTTTTTATTCTGCATGTTTTTAATATCCAAAACTGTGTTAACCAATAATTCGAATTGCAGAGTTAGCTTTCAGACTAATCATAGATTTCTTGTTAAAATGTTATAATCTATGTTATATTTCATAATTTACGAATAATTCATACTAATCATAAATTAGAACTAATACGAATGCGAATACGAAAGTACAGCTAAGAACAGAACGAATACGAAAGTATAGCTAAGAACAGAGCGAATACGAAAGTACAGCTAGGAATAGAACGAATACGAAAGTACAGCTAAGAACAGAACGAATACAAAAGTACAGCTAAGAACAGAACGAATACGAAAGTACAACTAGGAATAGAACGAATACGAAAGTACAGCTAGGAATGGAACGAATATGGAAGTACAGCTAGGAACAGAACGAATACAAAAGTACAGCTAGGAACAGAACGAATACGAAAGTACAGCTAGGAAAAGAACGAATACGAAAGTACAACTAGGAACAGAGCGAATACGAAAGTACAACTAGGAACAGAGCGAATACAAAAGTTCAGCTAGAATAATACGAATACGAATACGAATACAAATACGAATGCGAATACAAATACGAATACGAATACAAATAGGAATAGGAATAGGAATAGGAATAGCAATAGCAATACGAATACGAATGCGAATACGAATACGAATACAAATAGGAATAGGAATAGGAATACGAATAGGAATACGAATACGAATATGAATGCGAATGCGAATGCGAATACGAATACGAATACAAATAGGAATACGAATACAAATATAAATACGAAAACAAATATAAATATGAATACAAATATGAATATGAATAAGAATAGGAATACGAATACAAAAGCACGCCTCTAGATACATTCGAGTGTAACATAACTAGGATCTCAGAATACCTAGCTAATATAACAAGTATGATAGATAATTGTATATTACATTGGGATTTAATAACTAAACTTACTTTTAGGAAAATAAGGGTTTTTCCTGGGATAACAATTGTACATAACCAGAATCGTGTAACAAAACAGTTAACTAAACCTTACATATAAGAAAATATGGGATTTTATTGGATAACAAACTTTTTCGGAAACCGAAAGGAAACTTGTACATTTTCAGAAAACAAACATCTTATGAGCTCACCAGCTTTATGCTGATTTTCAAACTGTTTGTATTCTCAGATCCATATTAGACAGGTACCCGCGATCTTTTGGAGAAGACGGAGTACGTAGAAGACTCGTCTTTACTTTTGTTCATATATACATATGTATAACACTTTACTTTTGAATAGATGTAAATTCTAATATGTAATGTAATGGTTGTTTACTTTGCTTACTATGTACATTGGTTGTGATACTTAACATGAAGTCACCTCTGCCCCGGAACGTTTCCGCCTTCGGTTTCGGGGTGTGACACATGCCCATTGCCACTAAAGATCAAAATTCTTGTAGTGGGTGATTTACAAAATTCAGTGATCTTACGCAAATCCACATTTAAAAAACCGTGTTTCCACACATTATTTAGATTTAGTAAAGACAAGAAGTCTTTGATCCTTCCTAACACCACCGAATTCTTCTCCTTATCTTCCTCCGAAATAGGAAAAAAAATATAAAGCATAACATGAGTAAGACCAATAAAAAATTGATATTAAAGTGGATATATGGTTTTAGCTTTGAGTAAATAAAGCGGTCGCTTGAAGATTTTTTTTCAAGCAATTCTCTTTATAAACTTTCTATGATTCCTCCAAAACTTTGTTAAAAACAAAACCTATGTCATGGTTTCTGTCCTATGATTGTTCAACAAATCAAGAAATATGTCATTAATTGTTCCATGTGCCTACATTAATGTCTACGATTCTTGTTTGGTCCTCTTTCTTCCATCAGAGAAAAGTCTCCGAGTTCATATCAATAGCCACCGGCCTTTCCATGAAATGTTAGTACCACCATAGCCTAATCGCTCTTTAGTATTGCGGAAGTGAATTCTGTTGGATTCAAACAAATATTCTT